ACACTGGCAAGGTTCCTTGGATCTCAGAATAATTCCCTGTTCCTTGACTCATTTGAAAGCACTTTAGTTATGGAAGGGGGGGCTTTCAAACATGCAAATCTTGCTAATTAATGCCCAGAAGTGAACTCTTGGCATTTAATACCTGATCTTCCTTTCTGACTGTCTCCCTACTCCCTGTCCCTCAGACTCACGGCTGGAAGTTTTCTTTAACACTTCCCTTTCCATCGCTTCCAATTTAGGCACATTTTGTCCAAAGGTGCCTGTACTTTTGCAGATCCTTTCTTTCTGTCCATCCAGTTTTCTTCTTGACTGCTGTCACCTTCTATTGTCCTCTGATTATTTATTCAAAATGCATTTGCTTTATGTCAGTCCCCTCCTTGAATCCTTACAGTGGTTCCTCCTCTCTCTGGCCCCAGATCAGACTTCTTGCTCTTGCTTTCATTCCTCATCTCTACCCTTTTCTACGGATTTTTGTCATAATGCCACTCTTCTTTCCTCCTCTGACATTAGTACCAACATCTTTTTTCCTTTTGTATAATTCTTCCCCTAGTGCCTTGCACCTCCTTCCTGCCACTTCTTTATTTATAGAATGTGGTCTCAGAATTAGTCTCCTGCCATTTCAAATCCTTTGGTAAATCCCCCTGCTGTTGCAGATAGGAGTTTGATACTTGATAATGGCTAAATAAAAGAGTTTTCAGCAATAGTTCAGACCTTTTTACTAAAACACCCCCCCCCGCCCGATTTCCCACCTTTTGTCTGTTGCATTCTGTCTTAGATTGTGAGCAATTTGGGACAGGAGCTGTCGCTTCATGTGTATGGACAATGCCTAGCATGTGGTGGAGCTACCAAAAAGGAAACAACTGAAAACCAGCTGGTGCACGTATGCCTGTGTAGAGAGCAGTGTGCATACAGGCCTGTGTGTACTGCTCAGGGTGAAGCAAGTCTGGGCTGTCTTGTGAAGGTGCCAGGCAGGTTAATGTAGACTGGAGCTAAGACAGCAATGCGCCAAATGGCTCTTAGCATTCAGGTAGGCGGGGCCTGAGTCAGCACAGAAATAATAAAGAAATAATTTTAAATATTTTTCCTCTAACAGATCTCACAAGTTTGTCAACTCTGCCAGCAGTCCCCAAGGCTGTTTTCCAATCATGCTGCTCAGCTACACACGCTACTAGTAAGTATGGACTAGTACTAGTGAACTCGGGCCTTTGAATGCCACCAAAGTGTCACCTTAATTGTTTTAGGTGACTGCTAGGAGTGTAACAAAGCAAATCTCGGCCAGTAGTTTAGACTTCCACTGACCGGTAAAATCTCATGTAATCATTTTGTAAAATACTTAGATTACAGCTTACCTATCTTTTATGCTAACCTGTGGTAACTTCATAGAATAAGAGTGACGTATTTAAACTCTTTCTTAAAAGTAGCAGATGTGTGTGGTAGCACTTAACGTGAGAAACAGAAACGCAGAAGAAAAACCGTGCGCTTTAGGCAGTGCATGTTGGAAACAGACTAAGAAGTGCTAGATTGATTTTTGTTGTGGGTAGCTTTGGTATTAATAATGCTTGGTGGAACAGTGTCTAAGGAAGAATGAACTTTACAATAATGTAATGGCACAAGGCTGGTATTGCTGCCCTTTGTCAAGTGCACCAAACAAAATTAAAGGTCTCTTTTGTCCTGGTAGATGTTCAATTACTTTCCAGCTACTGCTCTGTAATTCCAGGAGATTGTTTGTGGACAGGTTTCCTTGTAGGACTCCAGTTTTGCTAGTTACTAGGAAGCTTAATTCACAAGGTGTTTTCCCTTTTCAGGGACTCTATTGCATTTCTGTTAATTGCATGGACAATGCAGAAGCACAATTCACCACAGCGCTGAGGGTAAGATGTATTTTTAAGACTACTTGCTATAGCACTGCTGAATCTTTAAGAGCAAAGAGGTAGTATAAGAGTGATGTCATAGCCATGATGACCTGAGGAAGAGTGCCTTGCATTTGAAAGCTTGTCTTACTCTATCCCAACTACATGGTTGGTCCAATACAAGATAGCACCCTAAAAAATCCCTGCTGGTTTGCAAAAGAGGGAAGAGGCAGACTTGCTTTCAGTTACAATGTGGTCTGTCCTCCATTAACTTTTTACAGCAGATCATAGAAGTTCCTTTCTGTCTCCTTGGGCTATTCCTTGTGAGATGTAGGCAAAGATTTGGGGGGAGAGATGTGTGCAGAACCAGAGTGCTTTATTACTTTAATCAGCCACCTATCCTTACTAGAATGGGTTCTTGTGTACCATTTGAGGCAAGGTCAGTGGGACCAGTGCTCAAAGGGCAGTCAGGGTCCATGCCCATCTATGCTGAGAACATTTTGGCATGGAGAGACTTAAATAAAAAAAATAAACTGCAAAAGTTGGTGAAGTTTGGGATAATTATAAAGAAAGCAAAAAAGGTCTCAAGTCAGGAATATGTGTAACTGCTATGCTTATGTGTATCTTGCTTTAAAGGTTTTCATCTTTTACAGACTTGTAGAGGGCAACATTTATTGAGTTTGTTAAAAGCCTGCAGATGAATGCAGTGTAGGACATCTAGTTGACTTGTGTTGTCTGAGCTGAGCTATTCCTTTATTTAGTGACAGCTGTAAACATGTTACTTGCAAACTGCCTCGAGTGGCATCAGTTACTCATTTTGGTGTGTTGCTGTTATAAAGAAGTGCAGAGTGAACCAGTTCAGTGTTGTAGGCTGGGATATTTTTATCTCACCCTGGCTATGTTGTGATCTTCTGTTTCAGCTCACCACGCATCAGGAATTGTGGGCATTTATCGTGACAAACCTGGCCAGCGTGTACATCAGGGAAGGCAACAGGCATCAAGAGGTATGTGACTGACTTCTGAGCCTGTGCGAGCCCTGAGAATTTATAAGAAAGCTTTAGTGCAGCACTTTGATTATTCTTTCCCGGTTGTTTTGCTATAAGAGGGGAAATTTTCTACTTGGTCAGTTTGGTGCCACTTAATATTACTTAGAAGCTGAGGGGTGAGTTGGCTCAGTGTAGATCCCTAAAGCAAATGGGAGTATTCTGGATGCCACAGCGAGGTATGATCTCACTGTCTGAGAACGCCAGCAGGAGCCAAAAATGTCCATATATTAATCCCAAGTCTTTCATCGGTTCCACCTGTAATCGGGAACCAGATATTCCTTCTGTCTATATCAGATTCCATCTGTACCTTAGAGTGATTTCTAGACTGCTTGGACTTGATGAGATGCAATTAAATGTTTGTTCAGGGAACCAATCAATCGTTTTCCCAAAGTAGCTTTTATTAAGGACATAACAGTGTATAGCAGCATTTCTGCCTTCATTTTTTCCATGAGGCACTAGATGTATCTTGGTCTTTGTAGTTACGTTTTAGAAACAAATACTTGCAAGTGTTAAGTGTCTAGTAAACAAATTGTAAATGGTCTGTTTCAATAGGCAAAAAACCATGAAGCACACTGAATAAAGAAGTAAATAATTGTGGGGTGTGAAAATGCTAGTCAGCGTCAATAGTTTTGGTTAGTTTTATGGTTTTCCTTAACCAGTAAGTTGGTCACCTTTAGGTTGTAAAGGGGACAACATTGTAGAAGTGATACCTTTCCAGGGAAGGCTTTGAGGTTCATTATAATATTTGCTAGGTCCAGGAAAAGTAAATTCTTTTTTTAAAAACTTGATTCAGGAGCCAGAATTGACCCCTTGGTGTTGTCGTTATTTTGAGAATTCCATCTTGTGATCTAGCCAGTCGCAGCAAACTTCTGCAGTGTTTACATATCGTTGCACTATTATGTTTGACGTGGTGCTCCCGTTATGCTGTTTGCTAATGTTTGCTAGAAACATTGATTTTTTTTTTTCCTTTTTTTTTTTTCTGAATTGTAGCTTTACAGCTTACTGGAAAGGATAAATCCAGACCACAACTTTCCTGTGAGGTAAGGATTCTGGATATCTCCTTGATGCTGATGACAGGAGGGTGGTAAAGCACTGGAACAAGTTACCTAGAGAGGTGGTGGAGTCTCCATCCGTGGAGGTTTTTAAGGCCCAGTTCGACAAAGCCTTGACTGGGATGATGTAGCTGGGGCTGATCCTGCTGTGAGCAGGGGGCTGGACTACATGCGACCCCTTGAGGTCTCTCCACACCCTCATTTTCTCTGATTCTGTGACTCCTGCCTCTTAGAATATGGAGAAAAAGCATAGCGTACAAAAGCAATCAGCTTATTTCAGGGAGTGGTTTTGAATGCATCTTAAATATGATTCTTTTTCCAATCCTTGACACTGACAAATCTTGGTTTTTGTCATTTGCCTATGACATAATGGAAAGTAAATGCCTAGAACGTACCTATATAATGTATCTTAATTGCTGTAAAAAGCCTGGATTTAAACACGTTGCTTTGTCCCCAGCTCTCACTGTCTCCGAGCAGCAGCTTTCTATATCCGAGGGCTTTTCTCCTTCTTTCAAGGAAGGTACAACGAAGCGAAGTGAGTGTTAAGTCAAATAGGGATTTTTTTTTAATGTAGAAGTTCAAAATTGATACCTTTTTTCAGACCTGACAGAATTCTCCCTTAGATTTAATCTGGCTAGTTTCATAATTAAGGTTTTATTAAATGAGACAGACTTTATAAATCGGCATGTTCCCAATTCTTTTCTGTTTACAGCTGTGAACTTCTGGTAATCACAATTCTAAACTCTTGTAAAGGACTTTTTTGTCAGGAGATAAACACTTTACAGAGGAAATCAAAGTTTTCCCCATTATACAAATGAAAAAACTGAGGCCAATGGTGAAGTGGCTTGCCAAAGATCACCCAGCAATCTCATGATAGAGCTGGGAACAGAGCCAAGATGCCCTTGTTCCCTGTTTGTCTTGTGACCTACACACCCTACACACTTGTTTTTTCTGTACTGGTGCCGACTTGTTGCATGCTGCAAAGAATTCACTATTGTTGTGAATGGTTTCTCTCTGTTCTGTTTTGGTAGACGATTTTTGCGAGAGACGCTGAAAATGTCGAACGCAGAAGACTTGAACCGATTAACAGCCTGTTCTCTTGTACTCCTTGGTCACATATTCTATGTGCTGGGAAATCACCGGGTAAGCCTATAAAGTCTTTGGTGTTCCTACTGGAGTAACTAGTTTCATTTGTCATTTACCAAAATGTCAGCAGATTTGGGAAATTCATTTATATTAAGAGTACCATGTGTAGCATTATCCTACCTGAAGCTGGCAGCACATTGATTTATGAATTTTTCAAATTGTCATTTGCATGTTTAATGATAGGTTGACAAAGCAGTGGCATTTGTTACCCTATTTTAGAAGCTTGTATTTCCATGTTGTTTAAAGTCACTTGAAAAGAAGATCTCAGTAAGCCAAGGCACTATAATTAAAGAGGATTGTTTTGAAAGAGGTTCTGAATTCCCATCCTCAGGGGAATTGTTTTGTTTTAAAATCCTAATGCAGTGGCAGAGTGGGACATGAAGTATTTTTTTCTGTTGTGCGCAATATAAGCATTTAGTCACTGTCTTACTGCAGAAACACTCACCATGTTCCAGCCGGAAAGAGGCTGATTCAGTGGTCATTCAAGCTTTAAACTTGGCAAGAACCAAAAATGACTGTTTTTTGTATTTTGGAACAGTCTTTATGAATAGGTCACCAAATTTAGTTACTGGTCTTAATTGGCCCCTCCTTTGGATCTAGTTTTTCTCTCCATTCGTCATCTTTCATTCATCTTTAGGTTTTTCAGGTGCTAAAGAGCAGTACATGTTCACTTTGATTTCCTAGCTACAGGTTCACAATCCGAGTCCATCTCAGTGGCAGTATAATACACTGCTCCCACATAGCGTGTAGGCTACATATTGGTGTGCGCAGTCCTTTCTAAGTAAATCCTCACATCTGGTGCTCGGATTTAGTTTGCTGTCACAAATTAGGAACAGATGAAATGAGTAAACTGAAGTTCTCAACAGGGATATTGTATGTGATGGGCTGTTCCAGTCCAGGCATGGCACCACTTGTCATGTCTGGTTGCATGGGTAAATATTGTGCTTAGTGGTTCATACTTAATGAATGAGAACAGCATTAAGAGTGTGCATAGCTGGCATGCGAGGAGCATTCCAGGCTTGTAGTTAATAGCCCCACTGAAACTCATCACACACATCAAGTTCTAGAACACTTGTGTGTCTTCACAAGAGAAAAAAATGTGGATGAACAGGAGTTTTGATCTTAATATTTGTTCTTCACCAGGAAAGCAATAACATGGTAGTCCCAGCCATGCAGCTTGCGAGCAAGATCCCAGACATGTCCGTGCAGCTGTGGTCTTCTGCTCTGCTGAGAGGTGAGCTGTCGAAATGCCCATGTTGCATCGGCTGTAAAATGAGCAGCAACTGAATTCTTGGGAATCTTAAAGAAGGACGGTGTTTTGGGGAGGAGACTTCTCAGTCCTAATGCTCTCAACAAGGAGGACAGAGTAAATGTCTTACATGGTCATCAAGTTTTTTTCCATGAAAACTAGATATCTGGAAGACAAGCGGGAAGGATTTTTTTCTTGACCACAAATGCTTACGTTGGAACTGCATTGGAAATGGGTACTGAGGACAGAGCGTCTCCGCAGAAGGAGCAAATATAACAGTCTGATGTTGGACAGAATCTTGTCCAGAGTCTCAGAGTTGAGCACGTGTCCAACTTGACACTCTTAAAGGAAATTCAGAAAGTTCTGAGAACTGTGTTCTGAGAGAGAGGGTCCCATTTAAAGGGCATCCTGCGGGCATACAGAATTGCTGGTTACTTCTTAAAGCCTTGGCTGTAGGTGGCGCTGTCAGTGTGAGCAATGTGAGAAATATTTTCTAGACTGGCACACAGACTCTGAACTGTTTCTGCTGGCAGCCAGTTGGTCAGCCACGTCTTACTTGCTTGGGAATAACACCTCCTTTCAGCCATTGTCAGGGTTTGTCTGTTTTTTAAAGGAGCAAGGTGGGCCTGCAAGTGGATTGATGGTAGGAACAGTTAGGAGCCAGTGCAAATGGTCTGAAAGAGTGGGAGGAAATATTTCTTCAGTACTTCCTTTTTGGCACTTTAGGAAAATACAGCAGCCTTGGTGGCAGGAGTGATGGTCATTAAACTAGAGACGGTTACTTTCAGAGTCAGATGAGAGTATGAGGTAAAGAGGGGAAAGGAAACTAGCAGGAGGAGAGAGAGAGAAAACATAGTCCACTGGCAGAATAGAAGCTATTCCTAGGTAATAGAGGTTGCCAAAGGCAGTTCCCAGAGCCCCTTGATCTTTGACTAGTCCCAGGTTTTTGAATTCTGAGAACTTCCCTGCGTGCTTTGCAGTTCTCAAATCATGGGCAGTCAGTCGTGCTGCTGCTGCTGTCTCAGGAGCGCTGTGTAAGAAGATTGTGGAGAACACCGTGGATAGTGTAGGAGAGCAATAAGCTTAACCCATTGTGGTTGATCTGGTCCTTGGCTGAAAGGCAGGGGCTAGCCCTCTGCTTAAAAATTCTTCCTGTATGTAGCTGGCATGCGCACAGATCCCTTTTTCCCAAGCAGTTTCTATGCTTTGTCCTGTCCTGTGTTCCTGATACTGCAAGCATTTGGTTAAGTTTCACTGAATCGTTTCTGCCACTGTGAATGAGCTTTAATAAATGGTGAGGGGGGAGACTGTTGGACCACGTCATACATAAATATTGCTTAATTTGACTTACATAGGCCCCAGGATGCTTTGTTCAAATATTGACTAGCTTCTTGGCAGACAATCAGTGTTAATGCTACAATTGATTTCTTCTCACTGGAAAATAAAGCTGTAACTCTACCCTTCCCCAAGAACCCTACCCTGCAGCTCCAATTTAATATAAATTGTCACGTTTACAGTGAGCGCTGTGTTGCACATTAAACACGGCAGGTGAGAGAGGCTGGGCTTGCATTCTCCTGTCTTCCTGCTGCTTTGGTTACAGATTTCTTCCAGGCAGCTGAAATACTCCTGCATTTGTGTACAAATTGGAGTGTCGGTGTAAGGGGTGTCATTGGCCCTTGAGACGGACTTGCCGTTTATCCACAGACGGGGCACAGCATTTTGGTAGCTTCCCCCTGCCTCGTCCCATCTGTGGACCCAGACTTATTCTCTGTGGTTTGCTTAATGGCCAGGACTGGAAGGGGCTTCCTAGGTAAGGTGATCGGATCACATCAGGCAGCCCCGCATCCCATCGTGCTCATGAATGTATACAGGGCTTCTTGAAACCGCTTAAATGCTTGCTTTCTGCCACTGCTGTTGGGATGCTGTTGCCCGATCTCACAGTGCTGCTGGTTGGAAATCTCATTTCCGTCCTAAGCTTCATGGCCAGTTTATTCATTTGTTCGCCCTACTCTAATAACTCTGCTCCTCCCTCATGTTGGCCTCCTCACCAATGTATGGAGAGCAGTTGTGTCCCACAATTTTGCTAAGTAACAAAGCCAAGTGTTTTAGACTCCTCCTTTGAGAGAGGTTCTCTATTCTCTGGTCATCCTAGGAGCTCTTCCTCGCACCTGTTTCAGTTTGAATTAATCTTCCTTTCACACGGGTGACCAGACTTGTACCCAGTGTTCACCTGAGGTGTTACCAGTGCCTTGTACAATTGCTTTAATTCCCTGTTCCTACAGGAGAAAACCCCTCATGATATGCCCTCGAGTTTTCATTTGCCTTTTTCTTGGCCGCAATATAGCGGTGGCTCGTGATCTGCTAATATGCCCAAGTCCGTCTGCCCTGTTGTTCCCTGCTGAGCACCTGTTTACAGCAGAAATTCTAGTTTCATTAGTTGCCATATACATGACCTATACATATCCAGTTCTTCCTGATTGACATTGTGATCCTCCTCTGCATCGCTGATGCCTCGCAACTTTGTGTCAACAGATATTTCATCAAAATGCTATTAATTTCTGTGCCAAGGTCACGGAGTAGACTTGGTTCCAAGGCTGATCCCTCTAACTTTCCTCCAGCCTGAGAGAGCCCCCTTCAGCCTATGCTTTGTCTTTGCTGTTGCCAGTTCCTTGCGCTGTTTCTGTCTCTCGTTCCCATCTCCTCTAGTTTAATTTCCTACTTGGCACTGGATCAGGTGCTTTCACGAAGTCTGGATAGATGAGATGTGCTGCATTTTCCTTGCCTAGAAAATCCACTATCGTATCAAAGAAAGACGGTTCCAAATGATCTGTGCTCAGTAAGTCCGGATTCCATTTTGTCCCATTTTCCATTTATTTCTAGGTCCTTAGTTGCATTTTTTTCCCCTCCAAGATGTGTTCTCAAGCACTGCAGTTACTTCAGCGTGGAGGCTCGTCTGCTAGTACGTGAATGCTGACCCTGGTAGTTTATCTCAAACAGGCAGCAGAAGTCAGCTGCTTGGCGGTAACATTTTTCTGTCACTAGCGACCCGGATTAAGTTTTTCCCCCTTTGCGTGGTTACAGATCTTTCATGAAGTGCGTCTTTCAAGGAAAGAGCAGCCACCTTGAAACAGGTTAAAGCTCTTTGCTAATGGCTTGTACGGAGAGACCCTTCCTGGGTTAGCGTGCTAGAATGTGAGAAATTGCACAAAAGTGAGGTGAACGTGATGGGAATGTACAGTTCTCCCAGGTTCTTTATCTTGGCACACTCATCCTTGGTAATTTTTCAGGCAGATTTAATTAAGGTGCTTGGCAAGCTTTATAGCTAGTAAAGTATCTTTACTGCGGGAGGCTGCTGCTGCCACCTCAGGTCTCTGAGAGATTATTTAGGACTTTCTTTTCTCACTTAAGCAGAGATTTGTACATTGTTGCGCAGCCCACACCTTTTCCTCCTCCCTCTACCCATCTCACACTGGTCTCTTCCTCTCTAAGTGTTCATAGTGTTAGCAGGGTTTAGGGGGAGTATCTTCTTCACACTCATACACCTTCCTATATGTCTGCCCCCACGATTCTCTGTGGAAAAACCTATTTTCTCTTGCCTGTACAGCTTCAGTGAGCTTCAGCTTTGTTTCAATTATGGAACACGGTTGAGAGAGAGAGAAAAGTACCAGAGCTGTCATATGCTGAACTAGTATGGCTTGCTGTCATGTCTATTGGATACCAGCAGCAGCAGTACAGGCACCTGTGCTGAGTAAGTACCAATATCCATTTTGATTGGTACGTACTTAGGACTGGAGGAATCTTCTGCATCAGGTGAAGTACTCGACGTTGAAGCAGATCTTCATTTTAAACCAAAAAGAGGGCAGCACAGAGCATAGCATGGGATGCGTTTGCTGTTTGCAGGTAGAAGGGAGATCTGGCAAGTTAGGCAAAGTGAGCTCTGATATTAGGGAAAGCAGAATGTGGAGTGGGCAATGCCAGGGCCAGGATGTATGTGTGGCCATGACTGGTCCATTCAGAAGTGCCAAAAAGAGACTAGTGACAGTTGTGAGGAAAGACCAGCAACTGGCAGGGGCTGTGCGCCTTGGCCCCTGGGTGCAAATAACCTTCCTCTGGTTTGGGGGCAGGGAGCTGCTGTGCTGCACCACACAGTGCTTGTCACTGCTTGAAGTCAAACCCACGTGGTGTTTGTTTGAATGTCTGAACTGAGACTGGCTGAAGTCCTTTGAACGATCAGGCCTTCAGGGCAAGGCGGCGGTGCCAGGTTTTAGCCTGTTGCGAATTCAAACAGCACAGTTCTGGAGCCCCACAAAATTAGGATCTATACTGAAAACTCACAGCTTGCGAAACCAGCTCTGCTGCCAGAACCACGTTGTGGCTTGCAAATATAAAAGAGACCTGCAGCGCTGCCCTCTCCCTGCAAGGTGGTGCTGTAAACCTGCTAGACTAGACCCTCTTTCCGAAACACCGAGGGATGCTTTCTGGTCTGCTGAGAAGTTTGCCCTGCGGCTCCTTGCGAAGCTATTGATCTATTGTCTGCACAGGCTGAAAGTAAAAAAAGAGAATCAGCTCTGAGGTGCATGCAGCTGAAGACTTTGGGGAAGGGGAGAGAGCAGACAGGTCTGCACAACAGGACCAGTTTTTTCTTTTTCTGTTTTTTCTTCCTATCGTGCAGAGTCCATAGCGCAGAAGTCAGTGTGATGTGGCTGCTGTAATAATCCGACTGCACATGTTTTTAAATGCATTTGGTTCTAAACAGTCTCAAATCTGTCCGCTCTGGGATGCATGGGCATGTTTTCCCTGGGAGGGCACTGGAAAGGAGTAGAGGGGAGAGTAGAGGCTGGCAACAGATGTAACATTAAGGAACGCATATAGGCCTTGGTCCAGTTCTGTCTAACACCAGCCTTTCCATTAAGCAACTGAAGTAAAAGCACTTGCAGTACATCTTATTGCCGTAGACATTATCACCAAATACATCAGAGTGAGTCGCTAACCAGGGGAGGGGGTTTTGTTACTGGCAGTCATTGACTTTGAGCTGGCCCTTGTATCCAGCTGCTCTTCTCAAGGACCGTAGCACCAGTATTAGGACTGCTATTTAGAGACAAACTCTTTACAGGGAGCAGTCCCTTCATGCGAGTCTTTGGGTTGAGTGTTCCTCAGAGATGCGAGTTGGGAAGCTGATGGTAGAAACAGGATTGCACATGGGGCTGTATATGTGACCAGGGGGGGCGTAGAAATGCAGGTCTCGAACAATGGGCTGTCTGGGTCAGTCAGCCATGTAAACTTGCTTGCCACAATAAGTGACCAAACCCATTAGGGAGGGTGGTATTTTCAGCCCTCAATTTTGTGTCAATTTGAAACCAGTGCATGGACTGTCGATAACGTGGGAACATATCATGCTCCCTCTCTTCCAGATCTGAACAAAGCCTGTGGAAACGCCATAGATGCTCACGAGGCAGCGCAGATGCATCAGAACTTTTCACAGCAGCTTCTTCAGGACCATATTGAGGCTTGCAGTCTTCCAGAACACAACCTAATCACGGTAGGCAGCCTTCCTCCTCCAGTCAGGTATCCTGTGTTAGAGCAGCATACAGTCTGGCTCCAATAGCTGGCTGATTTTTGTTTGGGTTACAATTACTTTCAACAGCAAGATGATGACTGAGTTCTGCCTCTGCTCTGTCGCTGAGGGGAGGGTATCCTGACTGCCTGGTACAAAACTATCCTTTTCAGCTGCACTGCTAGAAATACTGTTGTTTCTGCTGCTCTTAGATTTGAATTGTCTGAACATAGGGTTTTTGGAGCCACAGTAGGTTTTAGTTTTGCCTCTGTACATACATTGCTATGAGCTGTACCTTTTTCACTTCTTCACATGTTGCTATCTTTCCACGGTCAGGTGCACTTCTAAGAACTAAATGCAGATTAGACAGTACAGAAGGTCTTAAGTGGGAGCCAAAGAATGGAAGCCCTTACATGACAACCTAATTTTGAGTGTTTTATCACTCTCATAATGTTCTGACACTTTGAATTATCTTGGAGAGAGGCAAAGTCTTTCAAAAATCTTACAGCTAATTCATCCCTGGGCCTTGTTGTGTTTCTTTTTTTTTTCTTCTTTTTGAAGGGGGGAGGAGAGGAGAGGGGAGGAAAACCCGATGGTCGGAAGAAACATTTTCATTGCTTTGTGTGCAGTCAGTCCCTTCAGAGATTTCCCAGGGGTGGGAATGTTTGAGATGCAAACTCTTGTTTATAAGATGCCCACAGCAACTGTGCGATTCCCAGGTGCATGTGGATATAAATACGAGTCCAATCTTAGATGGCCCAGATTTCAGCGAGAGAGCTGTATCAATGTTCCAGCTTTTGATGTCTTTTACCTCCATTGCTGGATTACTTGTAATCCAGTCTAGTTGAATGCATAGATTGGAAAAAGCTAAAATACAAAATTAAATTTGTGCATCTCAGCAGATCTTGTAAAAAGCAGAATTGAGGAAGAGATTAAGGTGAGCAAGAGGTGGAGGCCTTTCTTTGAGTTTTTAATCTTGGTCATAACAGATGTTTGAAATTAAATTGGATCCAGGAAAGAAGGGCAGCAATCTGTGAGAGAGACAGCATTCTAGTAAGTGGGGGAGCTCTTGAAGTAAGAAAACAAACCAGGCCTCGACCTACCTGATGCACAGCTCCTCTTGAACAGCTCATTTTTGTTACCTCAACACAAAAAATGCTGCATGGCCAGCTCCTCATTTGTGACTTGTCTGTGATTTGCCCCCGTTCTGGTTGAATATAGGATTTTCATGTTGTGTGTTGTCTTTCAGTGGACAGATGGACCCCCTCCTGTACAGTTCCAGGCTCAGAATGGACCCACCACCAGCCTGGCCAGTCTCCTGTGAGAGAAAAGCTACCAGGACATTGTATAACAGCAAACAAACAAAGCCAAAAAAGGAGAAAAGTTCGTGCGGAAAAGTTTTCTGCAGAGAAAAGACAGCAAATTTCCATAGTGCGGGCCTCTGTAGAGAGAGGATGGCTTAAACCCAGCGTGCATTTCATACTTGCAAAGTGAAAAGGGCATTTTAAGCTGCTTTTACCTAGTGTGGGAATATACAGCTAGCGTGTGTACATACATCCTGGTTTTAATCTGTTCTCTTTTTATTCACAATTAAGGTTTAGACAGAGGGACGCTTTTCTTATTGGTGGATCTTGTTTTAACAAAAATATATATTTTCACAAAAGATGAAGAGAGCTTGCTCAGATTATAAAGCTGATCACCTGCGAAACGTTTAACCCTAGCTGAAATGTGCTGCTTTTTGAATATGCTTTCTACGCCCCCTCTACTCCCAGGAGCAGGTGGAGTGAATTGTGACTGACCATAGGGTACAGCAAGCTTCAGACCTCAGTTCCTGCATCAAGTATTTGAGTGCTGGAAATGCAGTCCCATGATGAAGGTGATTAGATCAATTTGTTGACTCTTCCTTGGTTTCTGCTTGTCCTTCACAGGAGCTGCCCAAGTGGGAGAGGAAAGCACCTTCTGTCCTCCCTGCTTCATCCCAAGGGTCAAGCAGAATCGGTCTCTCTCATTCTGCTGAAGAGAGAAGCAAAATATAGTGCATATCTTGGAATAAATGCAGCCTCCAAATCCAAATACGCATATCTGCCTGGAGGAGAAGCTTAGAGCTGGCTAAAGCATTGGGGAAGCTTTGAATTTCCAAACCGTTTTCCATGTTAGGTAGCTTCTGGTTTTGCCTCCTTTTAGAAGCCCATTGTTGCAAAGATGTTCTTTGCTTCTCCAGATGTGCAATGCAGCTGTCTGTCTGGGGGAGAGGGGCCCCAAATTGTGGCCTCTTTCATTCTGCAGAGCTTGAGAATGGTCAGGGTTGTAGATGGGAGACGGATCTGCCTGGGGGTTGGTATGCACCGTGGTGGAAAGCTCACCAGCTCACAGGGCTCAAGAAATGGTTTTTCCTGTTGGCAGCTCTGCAAATGTCATTGAAGAAATGTCTGTCTGTCTTGGTGGGGATAACAGGGGTCTGCTAACCAGATGGGCACTGTGGGGTCTGTTAGGTGGGCTTTTAGGTGATGTTAATACTTTAGGGTCAGGGCTTTGTCCCTGAAATCTTAACGCTGTTTCATCTCGTAGGAATGTTTGAGCAGTCTGTCTCGGGGGGTGGTTCCCTTCAAAGACTCTAGCAAAACGTTATGCCGCTGCTTTGCTTTTTATAAGCAATATAACTACTGAATGATGTGGAAAGGACAAAGGTCCTGCCCAGGTAATAGGCAGAGGTGTGTTCCCTCTGCTGGCTCAGCAGCAGCTGTGTAGAAACCCTGGTCTTGGAGCTGGAGTGATGTGACCCCAAGCAGGTTTCAGGCTCCATTTAGATCTACTTTAGGGAGCTCTGCTTTCTCCAAACTTGGTAAAGGAGAGACTTTAATTTCAGGCTTGCAAAAAAAAAAAAAAAAAAGAAAAGGAAAAAGCTTTGTGCAGCTTGCATCTCTTCACTTCTTTCCCGATCTTGGAAGATAATAGTGTTTCTGGGAGTTGTGTGCTGGTGGTGCATTTTAGGTATTTTATGCAGATTGGAGCACTATGCTCCTAATAGGTCATTGCAGGTAGAAATCGCTCTGTGACAGTTGTGACCACGCTCATTTATCTGTCACCTGGTCTGGGTGGCCGATGCTGGTGTGCCCTTAGTACACACGGAGGCTTGTGTCAGCTGATTGTGGGGCACTCGACTGCGTGCCTTTGAACAACAGCACTGCCACTTAGCACTGTGCAGCACACCCACAACAGGTGCCAGCGGGACAGGGCTGCACATAAGACTGTCTTGGCAGCAGCATTACAAGCTAGTGGTGCAGTCTCAGAGGGTCTGTCCAGACGTAGGCAAGTGCTGGCCTCTGCTAGGATTGCCACAATCTCGTCAGATTGACATGGACATTAGTAGAGCTGGCGAGAGAGCAAACGGTCATTTTGTATAGATCCCATAGCTGTCATGGCCAGTTGCCATCTGGATTTTGACCAGGGAGACTCAGAAGCGACCCTGCTCCTGAAGATGCCCACAGTCCTATCTAGGGGTGGTGAACTCTAAGGTTGTCCTAACTCTTGGGCAGGAAGCAGCATCTCTCTTTACACACCTCCACCCAACTTTTCAGAGTGCTTGGTGCACACCCCCAGGTAGATTCCTCACCTCACTAGATATTCAAAATAATTCAAATCCCATTGTTACATTAGACAGAATAGCCATAGTCTCTGTGGTGGTCACCGTTCAGAATCGGAGCTGCTTGGTGCTGGTGTTTTTTAGAAGCATGGTGCTAGCTGCAAGTGCTAGTCACTGGAGTATCCTGTGTTTAATGAGTCTTGTTTTAGATGATCAGTGCTTAGGGTTGGATGGAATATATTACAAAGTGGGATGGGAGGATGCACAGCCTTTGCTGCAGGTAGGGAATGCTTGTGTTTTGGTCAGAAACTGTCCAAATCAGTGGGGTTTTTTTATAAAGGTCTTCAGAGAGAGGCCTGTACAGACATTTCTCCTTCCCTCCTACACTTCTGCCATCCATGCTCAGTCCTTACTTTGCCCATCATGTGTTCATGCAAC